TTCGAAGTACAAGGAACTTGGGGAAATCCTGGAGTTTTGTAGATTAGGGGTTGAGACAAATATGTATTGCACATCTTGAAAAGAAAAAGTTCAGCCTTGTTATTTGAATAGTCTTTTTCCTGTGTAAAGGATGTGGGGGGAAGAGACTTATTTTGAGAGCTTTCCTTTGTAAACTGGACTCTGAAAGCTTGTGACCCTAATTAGGTAAAACTTCCTCTCCTAAACCTGGTGCTCAAAGTTGCTGACAATGAACAGGGCTTGCAGCATGTTATATTCGTAGTTCCCTTTGTATGTCCCTGCCCCTTTCTGGTTACTTGCCACATGAGTTACTGTGTGATTTTCTGTTGAATTGACATCAGGTTTACTTGCCAGTTTTTACAAATATAAATCATTCTTGTTCAGCTTGGTGTGAGCTGCATTAAGAAGTTACTGTTTCGAGAGAGACACATTAAAAAAAAAAAAAAACCAACTTACTAGTTGAGAATAGGTTTCATGATCAATTTAACTACTAGTGCATGTCTACAGTTCCTTAGTTATTTCAGTGTTGTATAGGCACAGTGTCGGTTAACTATTTGTTAAACAGCTAGCGCATTTGTGAACTTGTGTGAATCCTCTGCCCAGGCACTATGAGTTATCTCATGGTAGCAATGATTTTGTACGTGAATGGGTGCACCATGGGCAGTTGCTGATCTTTAAAAATGTATGTTTCTTTCAGTTGTTGTCATTTCACCCCAGATTTGTGAATGAGGTGTGAAGGACGCCTCTTAGCTGCATAACAAAGTAAAAAAAACTTTTCCAGCTTCCCTAGCGTCATCCTTTGTGGTGCTTGCATAGGCTTAATTGCAGATCATGATACCTTTTGGAAGTGGAAGGAGTGACTTGGGGTCATAACATCATACCATAGAATGATTTGTCTCTAAATGTGCAACTGTGGTATTAAATTTCTGGCTTTGCGTAACAATTGTGTGGCTCGTAAGATGTGAAGGACGACTGAGTATTTGCCTTAGCTTTTTCTACTGTACTTTAGCAATCTGAGTGAGTA